TCATTTTTTCCTAGGGGCGTTAATCAAATTGGGTTTGCTCAGCTTGACTATGCTCAAGCTTAGCTTGTTTCTATTGTGTGTGTTCTCTATTGTGATTGGTCGGGCTCAAGTTTATTTTAATTGTCGAGTTTATATTGTTGCTAATTAAGCTTTGGTTTGGCACAAAAGAAATTTGTAAGCATTCAAATTGGACTTGAACACAATTTTTTAACAAAAGTATTTATAACTTAAACTATTGGACTTAATTATCATTCCAACAAAGTTGGGTTTCTCAAAAAACAAAGATATCCCATAATTATATAATTGGTCATAACATTAAAACCTAGAAGGTTAACTTTTTTTTAAAAAAAAAAATCTATTAGAGAAGAGAGGTAAAGAGAAGTATATATAATCTAGAACTATTTGGGAATAAATTAAAGAATTTGCATCTTTCAAATGCATTTGTTGTATACAAAACTTGAATTATTTAAAATTAAGAACATGTTATTTAGACTTGAGTTGAGTCGAATGTTGCTCAGATTCAATTCATTCACCAAACAAACTTTTGAAAATTTATTTAGATCAAGTTCATTGTATAATCTAAATAATTTTGAACATGTCAAAATCAAATCGAGTCCAAACAGAATTAAGATTGCTCGAATTATTTAACAATCATATTTCCTCCATTCTCCCTCCTCCCACGTATGGGTCAAATGTAGACATCGGGTACCTGGTCTTGTCATGGTAAAGAAAACTAGGTGTGAAAAAGATTATCTCCAATGTATTTTACTATAATTTTATTTAATGATAAATTAATCACCATGTATAATTGAGAGATTCACCATAATTTGTGGAGAATGTGGGAAGAGTGAAAAACTTTATAAGGGTCGTATGAATATGTAAAAGAGAGAGAAATAGAAGAGAACGCGTTACAATAGTATAACCAGTGACTGTTTTGGTCAACTTCGATCATTTTATATTAGCCAAAAAAAAAAAACATAATTAATTAATTAATTAATAAATAAATAGAGCGTGGCGTGGAACATCGAAATGAAGAGAGAGAGCCCCCACTTGCAGGCAAAGGGGAGTGAAAGTGATGTGACGGCTGGATGTCTTTCCCCACCCAACAACCAAAAACACCCCCACCAATGGTGGGTCCCGCTAGTAATCTGACGTTGCGATTTAGGCACGTGTACGTACATTATTAACGTGATCTGATTCTATCTTTGAACCACATATTGCCGCGTGTTTCTCCAGGCCAGATCTTATTTCTCCCACCTGTCTCGGCCTCCGCCCCCATTCATCCTCGGATTCTCATTCCATCTCCGCCCAAAACACACACACCCGACTTGACTCGGTTGACTAACAAGCCATGAGCCACAGGCCCACCGCTAAAACAGAGTAAATTTGTCAGACAATGCAATTGTTGGGCTTTGTGGCTGGCTTCACAAAGGCACACCACAACCTGTATTCACCCCAAAACAAGCCCATAAAATTGCAAGTGTAATTTTCAGTTGATTGTGAAAATAATAAAATTAAATAAAAGAATAAAATAAATAACTTCTACACTTTTATTATAGAGAAAGAAAAAAGAGAAACGAAACTAAATTATTTTTTTTTTCACCATACTTAAAACCAAAACTGAAAGCTTTTGAACAAGTTTTTTTTTTTGGTCAAGCATGCAAAGAAACTCACACACACACACACACACTTTTGAACGAGTTCACCACCATCTTTGATTCTTTCAAAATTAAGGGATCAATCAAAGCAAGAGGTTGGGAATTGACCAATTGATCATAGCTCTCTTATTCCTACCAAGAGATTTAAGGGATCAATCAAATCATTAACCTTTTCGGGCTTTTCTTCGTTCAGCTCCAGGTGTTTTATTCACCAAAGTACATACAAAAAAAAAATGGATATCTTTTTGCCCTTTGTCTATCTATATTACAATTCCCACGAACAGTTCAAGTTTATTATACGTATGCTGAGCTGAGGGCTGATTAAGAGAACTGATAGTGATAATAATGAGTAGGTTAGATTATTTGCTTTTGCATTAATTACCATCCCAATTAGCAACACATGAAAACGCCTTTCTCATTTAACTTGCTTGCTTATCCAAATGAGTTTCCGAAACTTCGTGCATGGCACTGGGCGGTGGGTGACAAAGACATCTCATATATAGCAGGAACCCCAAAAAACGTCTTAAACACCTCTCTCAACAGAATAGAGATGCATTGAATAAAGAAGGACGAAACAGTACTTATTCATCCACCAAAAAGCTGAGATATTGATACTTGTTGGCGGAAAATATTAGAACCGTATTATGGCAACGGGAGAAGAACAAAGAGAAAGGATTTTGGGGGGTGGGTGGAGGGCTCTTATGGACACGGACCCAGTCTTGCAATCAACAAACTGAGAAACATAAAATGAATTTACACCCCAACGGGTGTGACTAATGGTGATCAAGCCTAAGTTTCATTCTTCCGATTTGTGCCTTCTCAAGGTTTGGGGAGGTTTTACAGCTCTTACCTGCCATGAGATGGGATTATCAGCCGGTATATACGGGGCTGGCCAATCCCGACCAGAAATCTGGTGACCACGTTAAATAAAATCATCGGTAAATATCAAACACCCATCTCACAAGGGACCAATGGGCTTACATATTGACTAATCCAACCACTTTGAACAAGTCACCAAGCGGAAAATTTTATTCAAACAATGAACAATACTACAACTCAAAAGAATATAAATTGACTGCTAACTAGTGTCTTGGTGCAGGATCATCGCAGAGCGTAAAACAAGTTATAAATCCCATGATCTTTTGGAAGGGGGGAAAATAGCTCATATATTTGGGGGAGGGACAGAAAAATACTAAGCAAAGATTCCTACATAACCTAAGACAATTGAATAGATAAAGACCAAATGGACCGCCGAAAGATGCACACTTCCAAATAATTCTAATTGAAAAAATTAGTTTTCACAGTCCAAGGATGCTCAAAAGTCAAAAGGCTTAGATACTATCTGCTGCCAAGGTTAATCACACAATCACTTAATTTTAAAGCCTTAGTGCAGTGCACTAGGAGGATTCTATAAGAAAGGTTCAAAATGCATTCACAAAGTATTTCAACATTTAGGGAACAATATAGGATGTAGGAAATTGTTGGCAAGATTCATCTTTTCATTATTTCACTAATAGCCATTTGAAGGCCTACCCACAACAACTCTCCAACCAAAAACACTCCTTTTCTCTTTATTGATCCTTGTTTCCTATGTCTGTTGTTTCATCCTCCATCGATGCAGATTCAGACCACATATACCAAGAAACTCAGCGATACTAGGTATCCTGGGGTACAGCTCTTTCAGCCAATATTTTTCATCCAACAGTTCCTTTTAGGCCAACCAACTCATTATGTCACAAGGTGTGGTCAAGACTAATAGCAATGGTGATACATGAGCAGCTCTACCATATGAAAGACATTAGATATCTACAATGCATAGCTGAAAATATTATCATTAGTCATATATAAGGCGTATGTTAGTAGGATGCCATCTCAAGGAACTTTTACATGGCTGAGAGGCTCAGAACGGAAAGTTTTTCTATATGACCACTATCTAATGATCCTACACTGCTATGGGTTGCTAAGTTATGCCCCCTAATATGCATGCATTTTGTCACTTGCTAATTTTAAGAATAAAATGTTGCCTTCCATTAATTGTGTATCACTGCATTTCTTAATTTCCTTCTACCTTGTCAACCTGTCACGTGAGGTTGGTATAGGCAGTTGAGACATCAAGGAAACCATTTAACTACTACATAAACTAATCATCGAACCTTAAGATGGTCTTATATTAAAAGGAGCCACAGCAATCAACAAGTTACAAATGAAAAAAAAAAGAAGGAAAGCATTCAACATCAAAGGAAGCTCAGTTGCACTCCTTACAGGTGAGATCAGACTGAAAAGAAGGGGAGGCAGCAAGAGTTGCACTAGGATAGAGCTACTGACAGCAACTACAGAACGACGAGTGGTAGTAAATATACCACATCCCATTCTCCAAAATGAATTTGAGCACTGCTGGATGCATAACGGTTCAAAAGGGTTTGTCGTATTCCTGTGTTGGCTGCTCCCAGACCCGCAAAAAGCCTACAAAAAAGCAGTTTTATCTGGTTCAGAGAGAGGGAGATGGAGGATTGAAAAATATTGTAATCCGCTATTCAACAAAGTTTTATATAGATTCGTATGTCAACTATACAGAGAAAGGAGATGAAGATAAGAATGTTAAATTTACTTAATGGTTTATGTAGCATAAATGTGAAATATTGGAAGGACCCTTCACTATTAAGATACACGACAAAATGTGCCATAAAAATTAGTTGCCCCTGTGGATATGTCCACGATATAGCACAAAGTCTAGCTTTGAACGTAAGGAAGCAGCCCCAACAAGTGGATTGGAAAAACTTAGATCCTACGCAGTGGTATTGCCTCCAGTCACATTTTGAAAAATGTAACATATTACGACGACCATAACAACAGGGTATCTATGCTCAAAAAAAAAGGAAAGAAAATACTTAATACACTATGTTAGATTGCTTAAATATCTCCTGGTTCACTATTCACCATAAAAATAAACAAGAGAGGGTATATGCTTAGCCCCAAAAAATGTGGCCTGGTAAAAGTACATTTCTTCAGTTCTCATAAACTAGTTTTGATGTGAGACTAGTTGGATATCCAGTAAATAGATAAGTGCCTTTTGTTTAAAATCAGGTTAGATATTTCCTTTTTGTCTATAGTTTCCAATTCACTTCAGAAAGCATCCTTTTTTCTGAATCAATGGTGCGTTATAAATATTTTCAACTAAAGTCGGTCTCTGGACTTGGTTGCACACTTCAATTCTAGGAAAATTCTAATCCTTACCCCGAAAGTCTGCAATTACATATATTTAAACCGACGTGACATTTAAATCGTAAAGCCATATCTGCACTTAAGCAAAAAGAAGGCTAAACCCACCGAGTCAATTACACTCTAAGCAGTTTGTCTCTCCCACAGACCTTTCCCTTTAAACAAGCTGCTCTGGCAATAGGGAATCCTTTGTATCCTACCACCAAACCAGCCATTCTGCCACCACTCCTTCACCGATGACAGTACAAGTGTACAACCACCACACCAGTCGCCTGTGCCACCAACATTAACTTTAAATCATAATCACACCTCCATGTACCAACACATGGTTTAACCCTTTATCACCATCTCTAAATATTCACCATTAACAGCCACTACCTTCAGACCACTGCCAACCACATCACTTCCACCACCATTGTGAAGCTTCACTTTGCTCTCCAGAGATGATCCCCTCCCCCCACACCTTCTACACAAAAAGAAGCACTCTACGGTATAAGTAAAAGAGAAGAAACAAGATTTCCGAATCCCATATTCAGAACAGGAAGGAAGCTGGATTTACTCCCGTTCTAAGAAAAAAAGGTTCTATCCTTCTAGATCTCTATTACACATTTCACTTTTATTGCCTCATAATTATATTACATTTTCATAAAAGATGAGCCAAATTTATCCTGTTTAAAATAGAAGAAGACTCCCCATACTTAATGCAGGGATCACAATAAAGACGATTAACAGGGCACATATTTTAAGTTACCACATGCTCATCCACATCAGTATGAACATTAAAGTTGCAAAATTTGTATGTTTGGACTTAGTATAGCAATAGTTAGCGTTGCAGGTCTCATCAACTTCCGTGTTGGATAGACTAAAAGGAGCCTTCATCCATCATACATCACCCCCTTGAGAGAATAAGCCTACTCTGTTTGGATTTAGAATTTTAATCCGGACAGCATATCACTTCCCCACAACTATGTGATCGCCATTACATCCATGCTATAAAATTAATCTTGGTAAATTACTTTAACACAGGTCCAGTTTGAAAAGAAAAGGAAAACCCCCATCCGAAGGGCACAGACATGCTTATCAAAAGCAAATTGTGAAGGCATCACATATGGAGGATGATGATGACGATTAAAATTCACACTAAAGTTGTAATCCTTTCTCCATCTTAATAAAATGCTTGCTTTTTATCATAAAAGAAAATTCACACTAAAGTTGTTGATACATCTCACAAAAGGAATTAGATATTGAATGCACCCTCTTTTTGTCAATTATTTGGCTAAATATATTGTTTCTGAAAATATATGCTGTCTTCTATCCTTGAACAATTTCTGGTTAAAGACAAGAATATTGAGGCCAAGCACATATCACAAGCCACAAAATACCCCTAGGTGAATCAGGAAGAACACTTTTTCACCTGCACATTGATGGCCAAACTCAAATTCACTGGATTTCAGTTAGAGACAAGTGATCCCCGTGTTCTATAAGGCGCAAGGCTCACCTAAGCCCCAAGTTCTCCTGGGGTCTAAGCACAAGGCGCAAAGTGAAGCACGGGCAATATTGAAGCAAGGTGCACGTTTTAAATTACAAGTGAATATTTTTTCTTACCTCACAAGTTTTTCAAGCAAGACATGAAAATTACAAGTCACAATCAAAGAGGGCTAGGGATTTTAGAAAAAAAAATTATAACATTAGAATCTAATGAGCATGGACATGGACACGGGACAAGGATACAACGAAACATGGACACGACAATTCTCAAAAAAGTAGAACATGTTGGGGACACGGTAAAAAAAATTATATTTTATATATAACATTATATAATTTATTGCAAATATAGTGATAATGATATACAATTCATAAAAAAATTAGTATTTTATGATAAGAAAACCTAATATCTAGTCATAGGTGTAAATTTTTAGACCACAACATCCCCATTATAGTCAATAATTATCATTTTTTTTTGTAGACAATGTATACCTAATATATAATTTAAATAATTGCTCTCATTTTCTCAATTCCTCTTTTTTAAAACTTTTATGCATCTTTTGTTTTTATTATTATATTTGGAGTATCTTTAATATGTCTAGTATTAGTAATTATATGTTATCAAAATTTTAAGGTTTGTTAATTACATTTCAACAAATGTCTATTGTTTAGTAGTAGACACGTTCTAAAGAAGTGTCAGACACGTCACCAAAAAAGTGTCCGACACATGTCCGAAATTAAAAATTTATCATTTAATTATGGATACGGATAAAAAAGTATCGAACCCGTGTCCGAGAGTGTCCGAAGAGTGTCGATGTCCGAGATGGATACGTCACGTTCTCGAGAGTGTCCGTGCTTCATAGATTAGAATTTCAAAAATTATAAAGCACCCAAGTTCCAACTTTTCAAAACCAATTGAGGCAGCTAATTTGGAAAAAATTACTAAATCTAGATAAATTGAAGCAGAATACTTGAAACAGCTACTTCAAGCATAAAATTGAATCTAATTTAGAGAAAATTGAAGCTTCTTGTCTAAATGGTTACCTCACTTTAACGATATTACTAACAGAAAAATTATGGAAGAACAAAAAAGCAGATGGGCTGTAAAAATACATGAAAAGAGAAGGGATAGATGCGCTTCATGCCTTTTAACCATACTACTTTAGGATAGTATGGTTCTAGAATGAAAGAGATTTGGATAAACAGAGTAACAAGTTCTGGAAGAAAAAGACCGAAGAAAAGATGGACCCTATTGCAGCAATCGGGTTAGAAGAAGAAGAAGAATTACCTAGAACTTGGAATGGAGAGGCAGTGTAGTGCATTAAAGAAACAAAATGATTAGGCTTAGGGATATGAATTTGTATATCAAGGGTAAAATCAAGTATTATAGCACATCATAAAACCATCCAACACCAGATCTGTGGTCCAAAATAGTTCGCAAAAAATACCCCCTACAAAAAAAGTCCTTGCTTTTTGCCCATTGCTAAAGCACCAGTTGCGTGCTTTTTGTGCTTCAACTACGCTTCGGAGAAGGCGCCCCACCTGGGACCTCCTGAAGCGCTGACAGTGGGCCTGAATGCGCCTTGGGCCTAGTCGTGCTTTTTACAATACTGTGTGGTCCAAACCAAGTTCTGGGATTCTATAATAATGCAATTTATCAAAGATACAGATACCTAAATTGTGATACCAAATACTACTCATATTTCAATTTGCATTTAATTTACATGTATTTATAGGCATGAGTTTCCAACAAGGGCTTATACATAACACCTGTTCAGCAACAATTCATGACAAATCCTATAGCACTATCTTTATAGTGTTAATAGGCATATAAGCATGTCATCCAAAGACAGCCTTGGGCCAATCAAGTAGAAACTGTATATTTAAAGAATACAATAGTGCGAATAAATTAAAGTTCAGGCATACTTGATGGTATTTCACCGAGGGACATATATATTGAATCATCATCACCAAGAATACCCTGCAACAGTCAGTGGCAAGTTAGTTACTAATCAATAGTGATCGAGAAATCGAATCTAACAAGGTTTAATTTCCTAGCACAAGATTTATACCAAGGTCAGGTGTGCAACAATACACATTAAAGGTGTCCACAGATATTCATTAAGGTAAATAAAATGTAATGAGCCACCAAGTAAGCCCAAGAAGGAGTTTCAACTTAAATGTTGAAGCAATTGTCAGCAGTTTGCATTGATACCTCTCCATTGTCAAGGCCCATGTCATTGTGCAAAAAATTAATGTCTGCTGATACAGAAGAACAACTAGGGATATCATTTCCAAGCAACTCTGATATCATAAGTCCGTAACCATCCTGAACGTCAGGCATATCATTGGAATTATGTGCATGGGTGGGAAAGCTCTCAAGGCCTGTATATACAGTTTCATCCCTGCATAATTGAACAATTCCAAATTTAGAAGAGAACTTCCACATGGCTAGCAAATGTAGAAATCATGGAGGTAACTAGAAGTAGTACACATGGAACAAATAGAAGGGCTTAAAGAATACAGCTACTAGAATTTGAACAGGTAGTGGCATGAGTTTTTACGTTTTACTATCGGTATTCCTTAGCATGTGAAGATTAAATTAAATTGGTTAACATGGTAAAGCATATTGATAAGAGAAACCTACTTTCTCTCTGAATCGTTAAAGGCCTTGTCTTCTTGTATGGAATCATTTTCCAAGTCAATCACCTCAATTTCTTTACCATTGGCTCCATGTCTACCATATTTGTCTGATATCTCCCCTTTATTACTCATGGATAAATCAATATCAACTGGTGCCGCTGCTTTTTCACTTTCCGTAATAGATGGAAAGATAAGCATGGTATCAGAGTTCTGATTCTCATTCACATCAGAAGCTTCCATAAGATTGAGGTCGAAAGTCTTAAATGAACCAGGAATTAGTTGCTTCTCTTCTGCATACTCAATGCACTGCTCTGCGCCACATTTAGGAAAGAGAGAAATGTCCACCCTCGTCTGATCAGCAGCCAAAATTACTCCCTCACCAGGTGTGTTCGTTCTCTCTTTTGAAGTCTGCTGCTTTTCCATCGAGTTAGAAAGGCGCAAGCAGTCATCATCTGGAGTATCTATCGAGGGAGCCCATTCTCTAAGCTTCTTAGTTCCATCCCGGCTCTCATCGTCGTGCATTACTCTTTTTTCACCTCTCTCCATAAACCCAGGAGGCCCCACATTTGATTCTAGCTCATTCATAAAAGTTCTCTCTGGGAAAGATTTAGACCTTGTGCATTTTCCCTGGCCCACAGCATATGCAAGAGCCAATTCCCCAGCTTCCTGTACGGCAGGAGCTTTTAAAGCGTCAGAGCCAATGCCTTCTGAACTTTGAGTTTGATTTGACGAAGCATCACCTGAGGAGCCACCGACAGGAAGTTCTTCGACGGCAGCTCCAGGTCCTATTGGAAGTTCATTCTCATGGGTGTTCTCGTCTTTGGTAATAGGAACGGGGTCAAGCTTTGAACCCCTGGTTGTCAACGAGGAACGAATTCTGGTGGGCACTTTGGCAAAGCTGCAAAGCCGCAATAAATCATTGCCACTCTTGCTTGGAATATCAACCTCCCCTCCACAATGATGGATGGGTGTGTTTTCCATGGCACTTTGTTTCTCCTTTTCATCATTACTACTGCCATCCTTCACTTCTCTGGCATCCATATTCGGCATTGTCATGTCATCGGTCCTCTCAATGGACTCCATATTGGCCTCGAGCTGGAGATCTTTCCCAGTACTAGGAGAACTCCCCTTTGAGCTCACATTATCTGGTAACTGGTATTTTTCTAAAGCAGACTCTGAATCTCCCACACCATCACTTTCTGGTGCTAAGTCATCGGGTGGAGACTTCTGCACCCCACTGCTACCATCATTATTAACTTGTTGCTCTTCCAGGTATCCAGAAAAAGCATCATCATTGCCCTCCACATCAGGAGAAGCCCTAGCTTTATCAGATGATGACCCAATTCTTCCAGGCTCTCGGCTCCACTCCAAGCCATAGTCCTTGAAAGATCCTGTTCTTTTCCTTCCTCTGATATAACTGCTCAACCCTGCCGAGTTATATTCATCAGGAAACCTTCTCCTACCAGACCCTACATCAGAACCGGCGTTCCCCAAACGAGAAAGAGCTGATGTCCGGCCCTCCATAGGAAGAAGCAAATTCTCTGCTTCTTGTGCCCTAAAACCCGGAAACTCCCCCACTTTCAAACTACCATTCTGCCACTTCCCTGAAAGTACATTAGGCGGCAGTAACCCCTTAGAAACCAGATATTCAGTTGCTAATCGACCTGCTTCCACAAAAATATCACCCCTACGTGGTGGAGGCCGCGGTGGTTGAAAGGGCTTTGACTGGCCACGCCCAAAACTCCGATTATAGCCACGATAATCGGGATTATTTATCCCATGATTTCTAAATGAGCCTTCAGGTGAAATCCGAGAGGTGGCAGCTACACCACCCAGTCCCATATAAGTAGACCTAGTTCCATTTCCAGGGCTTCGATGTCTTGCATGCATGTTTCAGGGTAATGTATATAATCTAACTGAACAGTTGGAACTGGGACACTTGAAAAAGATTGAACTTTCTTGTATAACCTCTAGCAATCAGTTCCTTACAGCAATCAACCGGGCACAAGATTCTTTGACGTTTTCCATAATCTACAAGAAATTGTAAAAATGCTCAAAAGATCCACCAAATTATGGCATATAGGGAAAGCCAGAGGATTTTGCAAATTGATTTTCAATTTTGAGCACCTTTAGGGCATCCTGGTAATTGTGCTTTTACTCTCCTTCAAGATAGCTGAAAAAATCAACATAAATGACTTTTTTATTCAAATAAATTCTAAATTCTAAATTTAACATTATGCTTTAGGTCAGTTCCAAGATCAGTACCAAAATCTGATATGGTCTCAAGATACTGAAATAAATCAAGGTTCAGTGATATAGATCTGGCGATTCTATAATCAGGAAATACTAGTCTTTACCTTTGACTGGTCAGCAAGACGGTTCTTGAGTTCCCAAAGCTGTTGAATTAGGGTTTGAGATCTCTCATCCAATTCACAGGAATTGCTCATCTAAACACCATTTTAGGGTTTCAGATCCAGTTCAGACGAATAGTTTTTGTCAACACAATCACCTCCACCACAACTCCTACAGACACGTATACAAGCAACGGTTTGGGTCAATTCTTGCAAAACTGGACTGGTCCAAAACCTTACTAGGTTCGATTGTATAACCAATCATACATACAATATCAGATCAATCGATTGCAGATACGGTAGGAGTGTCACAAATTCACGACACCTTTTCAAGTATTTAGGGAATTATAATGCGGATTTTTTTTCCTTGATTCTTTTCTGGTCCGAATGAGAGACAGAGAGATTGAAACTTGAGGATACGAGGCTAGTACGTACGTAATCCTTTTTAGCTCAGTTCAGATTTTCTCTCTTTCTCTCTCTCCATTTTGGAATGATAATTTTGGTAAAGTCGAAAGTCGAAGAAACCCTAAGTAAATGAATTTACAGTTCACACGTCAATGTTAAGCTTGAGGACGTGTGCACGCGCCTGAGTCAAACACGCCTCGCGTGCAACTTACTTCGGCTTGTGTGCGTCACCACGGACAGAAACAAAGTAAGAGAGATGTGTCTGAAGACAGTTATGTGAGAATTAATATAATTGTCGAACAAGGAGTATGTTAATGTAGAGAAATGATACTTTTGAGCGAAATAAATAAATTTTGTATTGTTAAATAAAATTTGAATTAATCCCAATCGTTATTTTGAAAATATCCAAATCAAATTCCTACTCTTCTAGTAAATAATGTATTTTTGATAATACTAGTATGCACCACGTGCGTTGCACGTAAATAATTTTTTTTTAAAAAATTAATAAATAAATATTTGATATATGTACTTAAATTAAATTTCATCTTAAATTTACCAAACTTATTTTTTAATCTCTCATGTTGCATTATAGAATTTTTAAAACTTTTTATATTTTTAAGATTTGTTGTTCTAACTTTAAGAAAAACAATAAAAAAATAAAAGAAATAATTAATGTTTTATTTTGTTTCTATAATTTTGTAATTAAAAGTGATTTTTTAGTGATGTTTGAAAATTAAATTTTTAAAAATTAATTTGATTAAGATTCTACTTATAAATCATTGAATAAAATAAAAATAATTATCAATATACCAGTCGCATTGGAACTTTACTATATTTAAGATTAGTTAGGTTAATTGAGATAAAATTTAGTATACAATGTTATAATATATATTATAAAACATAATAAATTTTTTTAAAAATCCAAGTTTTCACATAAAATGTTAACATAATTTAAAAAGTTTACTATGACTAAAAAATCATGTAAAACTATATATGCATTATTTTTTATCTTAAAAATAAAATGGTTAAACTTTTTGATAAAAAAATAAAATATACATATATAGTCATAATATTATCTCTATAAATGAGATAAGTAATATTATATTGATGGAGTTTTTAAAGATTTTTTTTAAATATTTTGTTAAAACTTATAATAATGCATATGTTTTTTAAGAGTAATATAATTAATCAAAAAATTTATAAAAATTGACATTTATAAATAGAAAATAGATAATTAAAAAATTAATTTGATTAAAATTACACTTATAAATCATTAAATAAAATAAAAATAACTATCAATATACCAATCATATTGGAACCTTATTGTATTTAGGATTAATATACATTGCTATAATATATATTATAAAACAGATTAAATTAAAAAAGAGTCAAGCTTTTTACATAAAATCTTAAAAATGATATATACATTATTTTTTATCTTAAAATTGATAGGGTTAAATATTTTGATGAAAAAAATAAATAAATAAGTAATCATAATATTATTTTTATAAATAAGGTGAATATTATTATATTGATGGAATTTTTGAAATTTTTTTGAATATTATGTCAAAACTTATAAAGATGCATATATTTTTTAAGAATAATATAATCAATTAATTTTTTTTATAAAAATTGATATTTATACATAGAGAATATATAATTAAAAGTAATCTTAGATGTAATTTGGATATTTAAATATATAAGATATGATATTAATTTAAATATTAAGTGTGAAAGGATAGAGTGACATTTTTAATTTTTTATGAGGGTAAAATAGTGAATCAAATTTTTTTTATATTAAGTTACTTTTATTAGTAGTATAAATATATAAACAAATTAGATGAGAAAAGATTTGTGGAATCGTTCATCTTATTTCCTAAATTTTGATAGCAGTGGAAATTTTTTGGCCTATCTTGACGAGTAAAGATGCATTTATTTTGCTTATGTTTGTGAGTCTGAATAGAACTGAAAGTAAATCCTGAGTGCATGAATCAAAACCTCAAAATATATACTAATTAAATTATATTTTATGTTTCGGTAAATATTCGAACTCATGCCATGCAATTCGTCCTACCAACAAATCACTTTTTTATCACTTTTGTGACATGAACCATTGATTTTAAAAAAACAATGAATACTATTAAGTACAAAGTCCAGTAGATAGAAGTTAGGTGCCTACAGCATTGCTCCTTGGCTTACTACTGTTGTGATGCTATTTTTTTATTTTTTTGAAAATATGTTTTTTTGTGATACTATAGTGCATAAACATCAAGATTCCACTACAACTCTATGAGCGCCCCGTCAACAATGCACTTGCATATTACTTACTTTCCTTGAGCACAATTGACCAGCAGTGTTTTAGGATGACTTATTAAATTTAAAAATTATTTTTTTAATAAGTGTTGGAGAGATTTTAGGCGGTCCTACGACCCCAGACTAACACGTTTAAAGATGGATTCGTTGTAAATGTCTGATAAACTCCAAGGAGGTAAGTCGAAAGATAATGGTTCGGGGGAGACGAGTACGACAGCTGACACTGCATTTAATACGACTTGACTACTCGTTTATGGCAATATGAGTAATGGTGACCAGACATTAATGAGCGTCTGCATCTTGAGAGCCTAAGCCTACTATCATGATGGCTAGGCATTAATGACTAGTATGCCGAATATATACGTTTGGCTCTCTCCAAGGAACTGTTCTCTCGATTACTCAATGCTCAATTGCGGGTGTCAGACGCCAGTCTAAGGGATGTGGATACTCGAGCACAGGCATAAATGCTCGGCATGGCGCCGAGCACTCGTCCTATCATCCTAGCATTGAATAGGAGAAGACTTGCGTGAAGAACACTCATTGTAATTGCCCATATAAAAAAAATTATTATATTATTTTGGTGCATTAGCTACCTAGGAGTAATTATTTTTATATATAAGGATAAAAATAATTTTAAAAAAAAAAACTAATATATCTCTAATAAAAAGTCTTACCTAGAGACCTATTAGGACTCTTATACGTGTAATTTAAATAAGGTTGTATTGTTGGATAAGTCAAACCCTTATATATATAAAAATATATTTAGGTTGTAGGGTCTTTTGGTGAGAAGGCTTATGGAGGAGACTGTCCTATGAACAAAGAAGAAAAAAATAACGTGAAAGAGGGAAAGAGAGAGAAGGAGGAAGAAGACAAGTGAATTAAGTCTTTTAAATGTGAGTTTATTATTTATTTTATAGGTTTTATAGTTTATTCAATCACATGATATTAGGTTGATGATAATGATATTACGTAATATGTATATATACACATATATAAAATGAGTTTCATGGTAATCGTTTATTATTATTGAAATTTATTAGATTGAATTTAGACTTATAGTTGATTAATCAATAGGTTAAAAAAAAAATAAAAGAAAAAGATTTGGAATTGTTGTGGTAGAACAAACAACCTGGATGACCTTAGGTAGAAGAAGACGAATCTAGAAATTATAAAAAGTTCCCATTTAATTTCAAAGAGTTTTATTTTGATCCATTTATTCTTCTGAAAGTATTTTTTTTACTTGGTAAGTTGTAAGAACATAATTCTGGAAAATTTATGGCAGCCTGAAGACAGAAAATTCGTTTTTAATAAAATTATACTTTGATCCCAAAAGTTTCAAAAATTATAATTTGACCCTAAAATTTTAAAAACTTTTTATAAACAGCCCATAATACTTCCATATCCTATTCCCTCGTATTAGAAAGGATGTTTATATGTAAAGGATATATTAAGTATATATCAAAGAGTAGAAAGTACGTAAATTAAATATAAAATCACGAAATGACGAAATTAGAAATAGGGATTGATCGTTACATGTTATTTTGGATTAGGTGGTGATTGCATTGAGGTTGGAAAGGAGTGCTTTGAATTAAATTTTGGAAATCAATGTGAGTAGTTTATTACTTCTTATGGGAGAAATTTCTATATTAAACTTGTGGGCGTGTGTGTGTGTGAATTTTTCAAATATATGATATATATTGATGTTTGAGGTTGTAATTAATGTTTTTGCAATTGTGAATTGTTATACATGTGAATTTGTAAAACTTATGAGATGATTTTATATTATTGCTTAAATGATTTTGGTGATGAAAGAGAAATTTT